CTCTCTCTCTCTCTCTCTCTCTCTCTCTCTCTCTCTCTCTCTCTCTCTCTCTCTCTCTCTCTCTCTGTCTCTCTCTGACTCTAACACGGGCCACAACAGATGAGCACACCCAATCCCCCCCCACGAAGTCGATGTGCGTTCCTAGAGATCGCAAGCGAAATCCCCACGTGCCCCCGCTGTGCAGCGAACATGAGAAGTCCAGCGGCAATCTCCCGTAGCTCTTGTCTCCCTCACCTTCAGGGGCTGACCCTGGCAACGGTGTTAGGGCAGGAGACCCCTGCAAAAACCTCCGTATCAAAGATCGAGGGGCATAACCCCCGATCGGTGTCGTCAGGTATGGTGTAGTGTTCGGATCCCACCTGCCGATGGCCCCCACATATCACTCTCTCCTTCCTCCATCGAACTAGGAATCCTGACAGAAGTCAAGTGAGACCAGCAATGACCAGGAGCATGTCACGGCTCCCTCGGCACGCTCCCCTAACACCCCAGTGTTTTTCCCTGCGCCACCATGGTCACGCCAGCGCCAAGTTCTGGCAGTCAAGCAGACAGATTTCGTCAGCCCAGTTAGCAAGCCCCCAACGCCCGAACACCGCCACTGAGGCGACGCGTTAGCGCAGCGCTAACTGGATAACTTTTGCCTCCAATGCCTGAAAAAATCTTAAACTTGGAGTGCTCGTAGATTTGTTGTGATCTTTCCAGGAAATATATTAAATAAATTAAAAAAAAATCATTTCAAACACGAAATAGATCGCGGTGCAATCAGACTCGCTTTCTTCTTCACTTCGCATACATGCAAACAAATGGCAATTCACACTGGCGCTGTGCGCCCACGCAAAACTCAGAGATAGTCAAGCCGAGAACACAACTCAGTTACAAACTCGCTTCCTCTTGGCTATGGTGCCTGAGCGCCCACACATCCTCTGTCCAACACTGTGTTCACCCAACTGTTCACACGCACCCGACTTCGGATCTCCCTGGATATCCCACGCACATACACTCTGTAACACACACACACATTCACTCACTCTGACTAACACCTATCGCTAGCTATGGCAGCCAACTACCACTATCTACAAGCAGCTCTGGCTGCGCTAATCTCCACCTCAGCCCACTTCGACTTCAGGCCTCCTCAGACCACCTCGCACAAGACGCTAGGGCAGCGCTTCCGCATGGCTCAGGCAGTAATGAATGAATGGCTGGACGCTGCCTCTTGATTTATACTTCTATAAGTCGCTGGTCTGCCCTTTTCCACCGGGCCCATGGTGCACATAGTCCCTCATGGTACTTGCTGACTGTACAAAGTGAGACTGGGACTGGGTACCTGTTCACTAAGCGAAGTTGGACTCGCCACTTGCCCACTTGCCTCTAGTCTGCTGTGTATAACGTGAGAAGAAACTTGAAAGGCCACTTCCGGACCTTCCAGAAGTTTGCGGACTTGGCCTTTCAGGACTGTAGTAGCTACGACCTTGACCTTTCAGGACTGTAGCGGCTAACGACCTTGAGCTTTCAGAACTACAACAACTATGACCCTAATGCAGGTATGACTCCTACTTCGACAGGTCTAAGGTTCAAGACCCGACAACTACTCAGACCTACGATAGACAACTTTCAACTACTAACACACAGGTCACGGGTTCAAGACACACAGGGTCAACTTGATACTGTACACAGGTAATGTAAGGTAAGGTAAGGTAAGGTCTGGGGATTAAGCCCTGGGATCCGCATTTGTGACTGCAAAAGGTGAAAAACCGTTTCACTCCCGCCGGCCTAAATTTGAGGTCCTCCGAGAATACTTCAGTCTAAGGCAGGGCCTTTTCCTTTCCTATCTCTCTCGTATGCTCAGACTATATCGGGAGCGGTCTCTAGAAGCTCTGTTCGTGTAAACCAGCGGTCGTCCTCTAGTTCCTGGAAAGCGAACCTGACCTTATACTGTTTCTGTGGACGACCCCTACCTCCTGTCCTGAAGACATCCTCAACTAAGATGCCGTCAATGTTGTACCTTCCGCCCATGTCCGGAGGGATCATGAATCTCCGTGATGGAAACTGTTGACTTGTGGTACAA